CTTAAAAATTGTGCCTTAGTCCATATATTTAGAGCATTTTCAACGCATTTCATGGATTGCAATTTAGAGCCGAGATGTCCAATTTTGCTGTCCATTTTTCTGTCCAACCAATTAATTTTTGACTTGTCATCAATTTAGTAGGTTAGTAGTGACTTTAATAAGAGTAATTTTGAATGGGTTAGTGATGAAATTAATGAGGGTGTATTTGAAATAACACGTTGATTATTGATGACGTGTCAAGAATTAATTAGATGGACAGAAAAATGGATAGCAAAATCGGACAGCAATCTCGACTCTGCAATTTATGTGGCATCTAAATAGTAAGACTTTCTATTTATTTTAAATTGATATCTACTGAATAGACAGTCTAGCTCAAATTTTTTCTCCAATTGATTCCACAAATATTTCAAACTTCATCCTTAAATGTATATTTAATGGAAAACAAAAATGATAAACAGAAAGGAGAGAGGAACCTTTTTTGGGGAGGAGGAGAGACTTTTTTTGCTATCTTTATTGTTTTCAAATACACAGGCATATGATATTGTATCCTAGTCTACCAGGATTTGAAAACGTCGTCTCCACCATTCATAAGTGGATAATCTCTCATTGTTAATGGCCGATCACGACTTGAGAAGAATGTAAAGTCTATATGTGAGATATTCATGTAATAATAAAAAAATAAATAAGATTATTCAATAGTGAATTTCTAGAAAATACAAATTTATTGTCGAAAAAGCGAGAACATTATCAAAAGACAAATATTTTACAAAATAATGATACAATATTGAACACGATCACTCACAAGCAAGCTGAAGAAAACACACTAAAATTACATGAAACTCTCGAAAAACATGACTTCCACTAAATTGCATTACACACGACACCCATTATTGACGCAATAAGAAAGCACTCTAATATCCTTGCACAATTTTGACAAGCACAACGAGAAATACTTAAGAAGTCCACCTCAATAAACCTCCTCTTTTTGGTGATTCGAAGTTATCCCTGACACACAAGATATTTACAAAAACAAATCTTTAAATGAGTGCTATCAATTTAAATTCGAACACATAGACAAAGCATTAGCAGTAATTATCACATTATATAAATACATGCA